TATATACATACATACATACATACATACATATATATATATATATATTTAATTTTTTTTTTTTTCCGTATATTCGTGAACTAGAACCAAAGGCACTGCGCATATACTCTAGATTTGCAGCCCCGTAAACTCGGTTACGGAGTATCTTACACATGCAGCAATCACACAAGAAGACTAGTCAAGTTATGCGACCTTAAACAATCGTATTTTATGATTGGTTCCATGATCGGTAATCCAACAATTGGGATATATGCGCGGTATCGTTATTCTTGAACAAACCCACAATCCTACACACGCGTATACGTTAATCGCGTGTGAATCTGTACTCGAAGACCGTGTATGCATGGTGTATATCCACGTGCATATGTGCGATCACTCTAAGTGATCCAACGTGAGCACATGTATAAACCGTGTTGGACAGCACATCTAGAAGTACATGCTTATCACATCCAGAAGTACATGCTTAGCACATCTAAGAGTATATACATAGCGTACATAGCAGAGTATATCTATACCGATCCACCACATCTCTCGCCGTCGCACCCCCAGTGAATCTCCCGGTACTTCGTAAGTACCACAGAGTTCTAATCTCGGCATCAGCACGACATCAACGAACAATGTGTGTATTGTCTCATTCGTTCGTAAAGTCGTTCTCTCTTTCCATGCACATCGCCATATACTGACTCTCATCAGTAGCACGAGACCACTCAACATCGATCCTTCGAATGGTTGTACCCTCCTCCGAACTCGAACAATGTACAATCTCGTCTCCAGACCCTCACGCGCATAGTTGATGCTCGAGCACGGGTTGCAGGTTTAAGCACCCAACAAGGCTTTCTTCTACTATCTATAGAATTGGGATAAGTAGTACCGGGTATCTATCATATTCGGATATGATCCGAATCTCACACTGTGTGCCTTAAACTCTCGTACGCAAACTGTTCGCCCAAGATCATCATGCTCGACTACGTAGCGTACTAGATATATCTCGGATAAAAGCAGTTGCCATAGCAACCTTGTTCGAGGTATATGTATACGAGACTCAATATATAGTATACGTCATGTAGTGTGCAGTAAATATTATATACCTCCCCTTCACAGAGGAAAATCCTTTACATCCGGATCCTCGTGCTTCAGCACCACCCTGGTTACAAACGCAATGAGTGTTGTCATTATAGCCACATTGCCCACTCTCATGATAAGTGTTCGTATCATAACTATCGCCTTAGCTGCATTCTGCAACTGTTCCTCAGGTGAAGCCCCGCTCTTCTCGAAGTAGTTAATCACTAGACGGCGTGTCTGTACGCCCAGATAAAGCAGCATGGCATATTTGAAACTGGGTATGATCAATCCAAAGTAAGATTTTCCCTGGGTGTGGATGTGTATGATGAGCATGCCCAAGTTGTACGCAAATGAGAGCACCATGCCGAATATGAACCTGTTAAGTGATTTCACCAGAGGTCTTTGTGCTGGATCAACCGTCGCATCTTTCACCCCCTGTTGTTGCGAGATGCTAGAATGGAAGTTTGTGAGTTTGTGTTCATTGTCTGCCACTTGCTGTAGCAGCGGCTGTGTAGCGTGATCATGATCTGTCATTTCAACCGTTGTTCTTGAAACTTAAAATACATTCAATAGTCTTCGTCGAGTGAGGATATAGTGCACAGATCTTGTTTGTTGTATGGGAGATGTCGATTTACATGCACCGTACCTACAAAATTTGTTTAAGCTTTAAAGTAACCGTTTCTGCGTAGACCTTCATATGCTTTATCTGTATAGCTAGAACGGAGCAAAAGGAGGTAACCTGACCACAATAATATAAATTGAGACCTAAATATTCATATGAACTATTTTTATCGCACAAATATACTCGATTACTGTATTGCACTTCAGGTGTGGCAGCTCGCTCGGTCATATATTGTGCTTCTTGGTCTTCTATAGTTTGATAGAGTATATGTAGTACGTCCACCGGTCCACGTACTGTCGGTTGTATTTACTTTATTTTATAATTTATTATTGCATTCAAACACGGCCTTCATGAAGGCATCCGCCGAATCAGGCATATAGTATTTTAGTTCTTCTCTCTGTACTAGAGAGAGAGAGTAGTAGTAGAGAGAGGGTCATGTCAGTGTAGAAATTTTTATTGACCATTTTTATTTTGTTTTGTACGAATGTACATAGCTGCACGAAAAATGAATACTTCGGCGATATCACATGCACGATTGCACGGCCTACTTTCTCTATTTGATCTTTATAAAACAACGGGCAGTGCCGTGAGCCCGGGTCACTATTTATTACATATGAGTCAAATACAACCAACAGGGCACAAATCAGGTCATGACATAGCCTTTCTTTCACTTTGGAGGGCTATGGTCGTGACTATCTTCTTTAAAAACAAATACTTTTTTACTCTGTGTATTCGAAAGGTCAGACAGGAAATTAGAACTTAAGTCCAAGTGGACCAACATCAATGTACCCTTGTAGCTTGGTTGTCAGCCGATTCGAGAATATCAGCTCCAAGAAAATGAACAACTATAAAGGTGGACAAAGAACCGAATGAGTGCTTGGGTTTTAGGGTATATGTACTGTAAATATGTAAAAATTTGAACTTGTGTATTTACTGTATGTCAATTAATAATATTTTTTTTTAAACAAAAACAAAACACCGGAAGTGAGAACTGATGACACTTTTTTTTTTCAAGTAAATACATAAGCCCAGAAATTAAGAGATCGCCCGATAAGGAGTCATTCATTTATTATAATTCATGATGTGTTGCATGGATATAAAATTGCTTCCAAAAAACATTACGTGTGATCACATTTTGGTCAGGCGCACCCTTTTTTTTTTTTTTAAATTTAGTAGAGTGGGTCAAGCCCACAAACGACTTCACAACTGTTTCATTAGCTACCACCGTCATACCATTTCCACGAATTTGAACGGCTGCTTTTACTTGTGCGTGTACTGTGTAGTAGTCATCAATACACCTTTGTATATTGCTGACGTACGTCCTCACACGACAAACCAGATTAAAAATGTATTTATATAACTTGCGTGCTTACAAAACATAACTTCCTTCAATAAACACAGGTATACAAGCTTGCGTCAACGTACATCAATCAACACATGTAGACAACTTTAGTGCTTGCACAACATAACTTAGATCAATAGACACTGGGACAACTTTAGTGCTTGCACAACATAACTTAGATCAATAGACACTGGCATACAACTTACATGCTTCCGCAGCATAACTTACATTTTTAGTAAACAGTGTGACCAAGTACCAGCACAACACTTGAAGGTCTCATACTGCAGTCTACAGCATGTTTTCTCTCGTGCGCCTTGGACATACGCGAAAAAGTGCGATGCTGCCACTTGAAAGTGTGCGCAACATCAAGCACGTATACAGGGCTGTATCCAGTGTATCCAGTACAACTATACGACAACAAGCATACACTCATACTCGAACAAACGTACGCACAATAACAAGTAATACGCACGTGGATGAAAAGTATACTACAGACGCAGCACACCATGCTCACAAAGATGAGAGACACTCCGTAACACTTAATCCTGGGTCACGGATACCTAAACTGCATAGCGAGCCCCCTCAACCCTCGACCAAACCAGATGTGGTTTCATTGCTCGAACTTGAACGGTTGGACACATGTTTATACAGATCTCTGCACGTGGATAAACTTTGGCAACCCCCCGGGTCTAAGGGGATGTACGGAGGGCAAATAGTTGGCCAAGCGGTCACGGCGGCCAGAGAGACATTGTACGTGTGGGGCATAATAAGACGATGTATATAGAAGACAATCTCGCGAGAATCAAACGAATTTAACATAGATGTTTATATATACATATATATATATATATATGTATACATTATTCTTTATATATATA